TCAATGTAGATTTCTGATGAGGATGATGATTATCAAGTTGAGTAATTTCTATCATAAAATCTAGTTATTAATTTTTTTTTAAAAAAAATATAACAAAAGAATAGAAAGATGAAATAGTACAGTGTTAAAATGAGTTTTTCTTTTAGTGCAAAAATAGGGTTTCGAAAATAATAAAAACATTGTTTATGAATGAATCATCATCATTAGACCACTATAAGAAATCTGGAAGCACTGAACGACCGTTTCGTCCTAGTATGGGACTCATCAACAATGCGAATCCACGACTCTTACCATCCACAGGGCTCGAACCTAGAACTTTCGATCTTGCAAGCGAACGCTTAACCTCTAGACCACTGAGCTGGCATCCAACGGTGTTCATGTCTAACATTTGATTAATCTAAGCTTTTGTGCAAGCCCAGGACAGAGTAGGTCGGAAAACACTGGTCGGCGGCCTATGCTCCGTTGGGGGTGATAGGTGCAAGCAAGTAAGTAAGGTTTTGTGCCTATACCCGATAAGGGTGAACTCCACTGGTCACGTCATTTATGATTTTGAGATGTGTAAAACAACCATCTCCTTAATACTATAATGCAAAAAAAATTCACGTGTGTTCGTGATATAATTTGACCAAGAGGCTATAGGTTAATTCATATGAAGCATGATTTAAATCACAACTAGTGTTATTTAGATAATCATACTGTAATATAAATCATCTTCTAATGAAATAAAACTTAAACTTTTCTATACAAACGAAGCATGATGTTTACTTTGTAGTTGCAAACAATTCGAAAGCTGGATGATACATCTTATCCCAATTTTAGACTGATCAACTGGATGTATGTATGCATATTGCAGTGAGGATGTCCACATTCAAGCTTCAAAGCCCATTACAATCTGAAGCATCACAGGTGAATGCCTTATTGAATAAACTAGTGGAGTTTAATCCTGTCGGATGTAGGAAGTAACCAACGAAGACAATGGGTTAGGTCACGCAAAAATCTCTAGATTGATCAGAAATTGACCCTGATACCGTTGGATGCCGGTCCAGAGATTAGGCATTCATGCGCAAAACCGAAGGTTCCGCTGTGTTCGAATCTCGCGAGAAGCAGGAGTCGTGGATGCTCTCTCTGTTGATGAGTAGTCTCAATACTGGGACGAAACGGCCGTGTTACAGTGCTTTCAGGTTTCGAATGGTGGTGGTCTAACAATGATTGATTGATTGATGATTTCAAATGTGTAAACTACTTACTCCATATAAACAATGACATAAACACTTAGTAGTAAATATCATACATGTTAATAACTAGAGTGACTCAATATCCTGTTTTTGATATAAATAAGTGCAATTTTTCTTTTTAAAATGATAAGTACTAAGTTCAAGTTATGAAATAATGTAAACATTGATTGTATATGAGTGTATAGTTAGTTAGCCGACAAGTTTTTGATTGAATGAAATATAAATCTTGTATTCGATTGCAAGTTAAAAGTCAGATCGAAACATCCGCTTATTAAGATGCGTAAAATATATGCTCACATAGAGATTGATCAAAATTCAAGCGAGAGACATAATAAATACATAATTGGTAGTTTTGTTATGATTACTTTGACCTTTTAACTATTATAATATTTAGAATATTTTGTAAACGTTTTTCATACATTATTTATGACGAATAATCTTAATCTTAAACTAAATGATTTAGATTATGTAATGAATGTGAAATTTATTGAATATTTAAAAAAATGTGAGTTCATCTATGATTAAGTTATTTAACAAATACAGATTCATATTTTTGAAACCATGAATCGATCAATGACAGACCACTATTAGAAACCTGGAAGCACTGGACGGCCGTTTCGTCCTGGTATGGGACTCATCAGCAGTGCGCATCCACGACTCCTGCTCCTCGCAGGATTCGAACCCGGGACCTTCGGTATTGTGCGCGAACGCCTAACAATCGGACCAACGGTGTTAATGTCTAACCTGATCAATTCACGGAGTTGCGCAACCTCAAACACAGTCTTTG